GGACTTCAATACCCCACTCACAACCCTAGACAGATCATCAAGACAAAAATCAACAATAACATCCGAAACCTCAATGTGACTCTTGACCAAATGGACTTAATTGATACTTACAGAACACTTCATTCAACAACCACAGAATATACATTCTACTCATCACTGCATGGAACATACTCTAAGATCGACTACATACTTGGCCATGAATCAAGCATAAGCAAATTAAAAAATATCAAAATTTTGCCATGCACCTTCTCAGACCACAGTGGAATAAAAATAAACATCAACACCAACAAGGTTCCCCCAAAACCCACAAAGACATGGGCGCTAAACAGCATGATGCTAAACAACTCCTAGGTCAATGATGAAATCAAAACAGAGATTAAAAGATACCCGGAAACAAACAAAAATGAAGAAACATCTTACCAAAATCTCTGGGATGCCATGAAAGCTGTAGTAAGAGGGGAACTCATATCTCTACAAACACACATGAAGAAAATGAAAGGATCACAAATTAACAACCTAACAAGTCACCTAAGGAAGCTGGAAAAGCAAGACCACCAAAATCCTAACTTCAGCAGAAGAATCCAGATCAACAAAATAAAAGCCCAAATCTAGGACATAGAAGACAAAAAGATAATACAAAAAATCAATGAAACAAAAAGCTGGATCTTTGAAAGGAAAAACAAGATCGATGATCTCCTAGCTAGACTGACCAAGAAAAAGAGAGAAAAAGCCTAAATAAACACAATCAGAAACACAAAAGATGAAGTCATATCTGATCCTGAAAATATACAAAAAAAATACAAACTATGTACACTTGTATGGAAACAAACATGAAAACTTTAAGGAAATGGAGGACTTTCTGTCATCACACAACCTGCCTAGGTTGAAACAAGAAGAAATTGAAACCCTAAATAGACCAATAGCACTCAAGGAAATTGACTATGTAATAAGAAAACTACCTACAAAAAAAAAACCCTTGACCAGATGGCTTTCCAGCAGAATTCTACAAGACATTTAAAGAGGAGCTGATACCAATCCTACTGAAGGTATTCCAGGCGATTGAGAAAGATGGAACTCTCCCCAAATCATTTTATGAATCCAACATCACATTGATACCCAAGCCAGGTAAAAATCCAACAAGGAAAGAGAACTACAGGCCAATATCTTTGATGAACATAGATGCTAAAATTCTCAACAAGATCCTAGCGAACCAGATTCAATAACACATCTCAAAAATCATCCATCATGACCAAGTAGGCTTCATCCCTGGGATGCAAGGCTGGTTCAACATTGGTAAAACAATGAATGTAATTAAATACATCAACAGATGTCAAAACAAAAGCTTTTTCTGCATTAATGATACAATCATGTAGTTTGTTTTGATGATTGTATCATTAATGCAGAAACAGCTTTTGATAAAATCCAGCACCCCTTCCTGACAAAAACCTTCAAACATCTAGGCATACGGGGAACATACCTCAAAATAGTAAAAGCCATCTACGAGAAACCCACAGCCAGCATACTCCTAAATGGACAAAAATTGGAACCATTTCCCCTGAAAACGGGAACAAGACAAGGATGCCCACTGTCACCCCTCCTGTTCAACATAGTATTGGAAGTCCTGGCTAGAGCAATCAGAGAAGAGAAGGCAATCAGAGGAATCCAAATAGGAAAAGAGGAAATCAAGTTATCTCTCTTTGCAGATGACATGATTGTGTACCTTGAAAACGCAAGAGAATCTGTCAAAAGCCTCCTTGCACTGATGAAAGACTTTAGCAAAGTCTCAGCAAAATAAATGTGCAAAGTCTTTAGCAAAATAAATGTGCAAAAGACAATCACACTTTTTTACACCAATAATAAACAAGAAGAAACCCAAATAAAAAGCACAATCCCATTCACAATAGCCACAAAAAAAAAAAAAAAAGGAATACCTTGGCATTTTCCTAACCAGGATGTGAAAGACCTTTACAATGAAAACTACAAAACACTGTTCAAAGAAATCAAAGATGACACAAACAATTGGAAAAATATCCCATGCTCATGGATTGGAAGAATCAACACTGTGAAGATGTCCATCTTACCTAAGACAATCTACAGATTTAATGCAATACCCATCAAATTACCAGCAACATTCTTCTCAGACCTAGAAAAAACAATACAGGAATTCATATGGAAACACAAACGGCCAAGAATAGCTAGAACAATCCTCAGCAAAAAAACCCAAAAAACAAAAAACAAACAAAAAACAAAGCAGGAGGTATCACATTACCAGACTTCAAACTTTACTATAACGCTACAATAATCAAAACAGCTTGGTATTGGTACAGGAACAGGCACATAGACCAATGGAATAGAATTGAGATTCCAGAAGCGAAACCTCAATTTCTCAACCAACTCATCTTCAACAAAGCCTCCACCACCTACCACTGGGGAGAGGAGAATCTATTCAGTAAATGGTGCTGGGAAAACTGACTGACCACATGCAGAAGACTCAAACAAGAACCCTATCTATCCCCATACACAAAAATTAACTCTAAATGGATCAGAGACCTAAATGTAAAACCTCAAACCCATAAGAACCTTAGAAAATGCAAAACACACCCTTATGGAAATTGGAACTGGCATTCAATTCCTGAACAAAACCCAAAACGCACCAGCCATAAGAGATAAGATAGACAAGTGGGACCTTATTAAACTGACAAACTTCTGCAAAGTCAAAGAAACCATCAAGAGAGCAGGGAGACAGCCCACAGATTGGGAAAAAGTATCTGTCAACTCCATGTCTGACAAAGGCCTAACATCTTGGATCTACAAGGAACTCAAACATGCTGAAAAGAAAAAAACAAACAACCCCATTATAAAGTGGGCAAACGATACGAACAGACTCTTTACAAAAGAAGACATACAAGCAGCCAACAGACACATGAAGAAATGTTCAACCTCACGAATCATCAAGGAGATGCAAATCAAAACCACACTGAAATACCACCTAACTCCAGTCAGAATGACCATTTTCAATAACTCAAAAAATAACAGATGCTGGAGAGAATGTGGTGAAAAGGGAACACTTCTACACTGTTTGTGGGAGTGTAAACTAGTGCAACCTCTGTGGAAAGCAGTGTGGCAATTCCTAAAAGCTTTAAATATCAACCTCCCATATGACCCCACAATCCCCCTTTTGAGAATATACCCTGAAGAACTCAAATCACTGTATGAAAAAGATACCTGCACACGTATGTTTATCGCAGCATTGTTCACAATAGCTAGAACCTGGAACCAACCATGTTGTCCATCAAAAGAGGACTGGATTAACAAATTGTGGTACATATTCATGATGGAATACTACGCAGCTATAAAAAGGAACAAAATCATGAATTTCGCAGCAACCTGGATGGAACTAGAGTCTATAATACTGAGTGATCTCTCACAGAAACAAAGATCTGAGTATCACATGTTCTCACTCATAAGTGGACCTTGAACATCTATCATAATACTATAAGAAAAGGATTGACAGTGGTGGGAACGTATGGGGGGGGAAGGGAGGGCAAGGGTGGTGGAATTAACAGTATTCAATATCTGTGTGGGGATGGGGGGACACCCCTTATTGACAAGGGTGCCTGAACGATGCATATTTGTATACCTAACCCTTAACTATACCCCACAATTTTAAAATAAAAAATGTTTAAAATTGAAAAAAATCACACTAAATTATTGAGCAAATAAGAATGAACAAAATGTTTCTTTAAAGTCAGATTTGAATTAACACACACGTAGGCCCAGTTAACTATTCTTTCCTTAACATATTTATTCTCCATTTCTATTTCCTTAAATCCAGGATTGGTGTTTCTCAGTTTGAAATTACGACTCACTCAGAAATAACATGCTGTGTATCTGCTGGCTCAAAACTAGGAGGCTCCAGGAGTGACTTCAGAATTAACTAGAGCAATTTAAGCCTTGGAGTCTTTAATCTCTGTAATGATACTCCTCAGGTCCCAACTATCTAGGGGCTATTTAGCCCTTGTTATCTCTTGCAACTTCTTTTTTCTTTCCTTCATCCTGCAATGAAGGCAGGAGGCCAGGACTAGTAGCTGCCAGACTTTTTATTAAGGAAATCCTAGCTGTTTCTTTAAAGCAGACTCTCTTAAAACCAAAACAACAGAGAGATACTTTTTCTTTACAGTTTATTACTAACATAACAAATCAACTTTTAGTAGACCAAATGCTAATGTCTCAACATGCAGAGAATGGAAGTCTTATGATTTTGTCTTCATTACTTCATGGTAATGGATTCTGCATACCTATTGATATCTACTTTATGTTCATGATTCTGAATTCACAAATGCATCCACCGATAATACAACTTGATGTGAATAGTGCCTTTTATTGTTGTTTTTTTGGTATCCTGAAAATTTGTAAGAAAATAGTGTGTGTGTATGTGTGTGTGTGTGTGTGTGTATGTGTGTATGTGTGTGTGTGTTTGTGTGTGTGTGTAAGAGAGATAGAGAGAGAGAGAAGGGGGAAGGAAGGAATGTGGGCAGGGAGAGAAAGGACAAGGTGTTCAAATGATACTAGAAATAAATGGTATGACTAATTAAAAGTTAGTATTCTTATATTTAATTTACCTAAAAAAGTGATTTGGTTACTGGAATTGTAGTCTCAACCCTATAGAATGCACAAGCAAGCATGCACCTTGTCATTTTCACTTTGCACCCACTGTCCAAATTGACTTTAACCACTGTTAAAGCACAGAGTCCATTGTTTTTTAGCCATTTGGGGTCCAGTGTAATTCACTGATTTTGTTTTACATTATGCTCAAATGAACCACCTTTATTTTAGAGTAACTTAAGGGGCATTTTGTTTACTGAGTTCATTTTAGAGTTGAGTCATACCATGTAAGACTTAGTGTCATCAATTAAGTGACACCATTCTGTTAATGTTGTCATACACATTTGTCATAACCAGTAATCACTTATGACACTGCCTCGTCTACTGTATTGCAGGAAAAACAGAGGTTTCTGACAGATGTTCTGCATGAAGTGATGCTACTTGACGGTCTGGCCAGTTCCCATCCGGTATCACAGGAAGTGCTACAGGCAACAGATATTGACAGGGTGTTTGACTGGATTGCATATAAAAAGGTGGGAATAGATAAGACCCAAGTGCCAATTAAATATTTCACTATTAAGATCGCTAATCAATTTCATGCTAGATGTTTATTTTTCTCTTCTTCCTGGCAGAAAGAAATGGACTGTGAGTTAGAGAACATAACAGTTCACAAGTTCATGTTATTTTATGAGCCAGGGCTTTGCTTTGTAAGTCAGTAAAATGGAGATGACTATTTGCTAAATAATGCATAGAAATATTGGAAGTATTAATGAATAAATGTTTGGAGACTTGATATGAAATTGCTGTACAAATGGTGTTATGTAAATGTCAGTTTTTATTATTATTAATAAGAGAGCTGACCTATATAGTGAAAAATTATTGTTCACCAAAGTCCTTTAAATAATTATTTATTTTGATTAGCTGATGCAAATGAATATGAGCAGTGACATGATTCATGCATTTTATAAATATGATTTAAGGGCGATTTCAAAAATTAAGCATATTTTTTGGATAAAAAGCGTAATAAACAGAAAGTTAAAGACTGGACTTTGAGCAGCCAGAAAAGAATTTTGGACCAATAACTAGATGTAAAAAGAGGTAAAATATGTTTTTTTTCCATTGTTACTTGAATTAGGATTTTTTTTTTCTTATGTCTACATCCTTTGGTGGTTATATTTAGAGTAGTTTTTGTTTTGTATTGTTTTTCTATTTTTATTTTAGATATGGGGGTACTCATACATGTTTGTTACATAGACATATTTTGTAATGGTGAAACTTGGGTCTCACTTGTGTCCATAGGTAATTTCTGAAACCTAAACCCTATCCCATAGTTGTTCTAGTTTTAATGTGATGATTTGCATCTCGGTGTTTAATAGTTATTAACCACGTAATTATAGTTAAAATAGAGTTAAAGTCCAGGGGAAAGACTTTAGTGTAGATTGGATTGCATTTGTTGGAATTTCTGTGTAATTTTTATTGATTTTGTAATGTTTTAAATTGTTAAAAAATCACTAATATTGTTTTTCATAAAAGTATGTGTGTATTTAGTAACTAAATATCAAACAATAATTTATTATAAGTCTTTGGTGTGGTAATTTGGAAATTTGGTTTTGCACTCAGGTAATGACTATTCTAAGTATTATTAGTCAGTACTGTATGCTATGCTGTGATATGTAAGGATGCAATGGTGTTGGTAATAGAAAATGTCTTTTAAAGCCATTGATTATTGCATTGGTTCAAAAAGGTGCTTTGTGATATTTTATAAAAATAAGTGGAACTGTAGAGCCCTGGCATGTTTTATATCTATAAAATTTTACATATAAATTTTTTGGCTAGATTTTGTTAGATTGCATTTAGTTTATTTAATTGCAATGATTTTTAAAATGTAATACAGAAAACAATTCATTAAGACATCTTGAAATGAGTTTAGATGCATACTTATATTTATTGTTCCCCTACCTCCAATTCTGAAAGACTATTTTTAATACCAGTTTTACTCTGACTAAATCAGGAAATATTAAGATTATAAATAATTATTTTGAGATATATGCATGTTGTTGAACATATGAATATAAAACAATTTGTTCATTTTCCTAGACTTTGGGTTGTTTCCAGTTTGGCTATAACAAATATTGGTGCTGTAGACATCACTATACAAATGAACATATGCATATTGCTTTTATTTCTCATGGGTTAATACCCAGGAGTGGGATATCCATATTTTATGTTAGGTAGTTTAATATTTTGGGATACTGATGAACTGTTTTCCAAGGTAGATTTACGATTGCATCATTGTATATTCCCACCAACAGTATATCAGAGTTCTAACTTCTCCACATCTTTACCTACATCAACTAGATTTAATCATATCTTTTAATTTTAGATGTCCTGATGATATCTCGTGATTTAAATTGCATTCTCCAATGACTAATGATATTGACAGTTTTTTTGTTTGTGCATTTCTCCTCACCTATTTTCCTTAGTGAAGGGTTAATTAAAATCTTTTGCCATTAAAAAAATGTATTGTTTGTTTTCTTATTATTAAGTTCTGAGGATTTTTCCTATATTCTGAATACAGATTCTTTATCAGACATATGATTTGCAATTTTCCCCCCAATTTTTTGCCTGCTTTTTATTTTTATAACAATGCATTTTTTTTGTTTTTGTTTTTTTGAGTTGGAGTCTCACTCTGTCGCACAGACAGGAGTGCAGTGGTTGCTCCCGGCCACCGCAGCCTCCACCTGCTGGGCTCTGGCGATCCTTCCACCTCAGCCTTTCGAGTAGCCAGAATTACAGGCGCACACTACTGCCAGGCTGATGTTCTGATTTATTGTAGAGATGAGGTCTCGCTGCCCAGGCGGGTCTTGAACCTGCGGGCTCAGGCAATCCGCTCACCTCGGCCTCCCAAAGCGCTAGGATTACCGGCTGAGCCACCGAGCCCAGCCAACAATGCATTTTTAAACGCAAAGGTTTTGATTTTAGTAAAGTATAATTTATCATATTTTTATTTAATTGATAGTGCAATTGGTGTCATAACTAAGAAATCTTTGTGTAAATTAGGTCATGAAGGTTTTTTCTTTTCTCTAGAAGTTTTATTGTTTGAAGTTTATATTTAGACTTATGATAAAATTTGATTTAATTTTTGTATTGGTATGAGGTTTGAAACAATTTTTTCTTTTTCTATTTTTTCTTTCCTTTCTTCCTTTCCTCCCTCCCCTCCTTCCCTTCTTTCTTCCTCCTTTCTCTCTCTCTCTCTCTCTCTCTCTCTCTCTCTCTCTCCCCCTTTCTGTTTCTTTCTTTCTACATAAGTGTTTAAGAGCCATTTCTCAAAAAGCCTATATTTATTTTCTACACTTAATTTTTTTGCATATTTGTTGAACATCAGTTAACTATATATGTGTGGGTCTATTTCTGGACTATTTGTTCCATTCTATTGGCATATGTGTCTCTCTTGGCTCCAGTATAATACATTCATGATTACTATAGCTTTATAATAAGTTGTGAAATAAGATCATGTTAGTCCTCCAACTTTGTCCTTTTTTTAAAAAATATTTTTTTTGGTCTCTGCATGTCTATATAATATTAAGAATGAGTCGTAAATTTCTATTGTTGGAATTGCATGATTTTGTTGTTTTTATAAAACAATTTAAGAAAATTGACATCTTAGCAATATTGATTGACCTCTGAGTATAGTAAACCTTTCTATTTCTTTAGGTTCTTTTTATTTTGTCTCAGTAATACAGTTTTTAGTGAATAGATCTTTCATATCTTTTTGAGATTCATCTTTGGGCATTTCCCATTTTTAGGCTATTGTAAATAGTATTATTTTTAAATGTCCATTGATGATTTTTTATTGTTTTATATAAAATATGATTCATATTTGTATATATATCTGGTTCAATGTTAAATAGAAGTGGCGAGAACAAACATTCTTGTCTTGTTCCTAATTTTAGAAGAAATACTTCAGTCTAAAAACTATTATCTCTTTTTCAATTTTCTGGGAGAATTTGTGTAAACTTTATATTGCTTCTCTCTTGAATGTTTGTTAGAATTTACTAACATACAACTATAGACCTGGAATTTCATTCAAAGGGAGGTTTTTAACTAATAATTTAATTTCATTATTTGATGTGATGGATTATTCAGACAATATATTTCTTTTTACATGCATTTCGTAGTTTCTCAAGGACTTAGGCCATTTCATCTATGATGTTTAATTTATTGACATAAAGTTGTGCATTACATATTCCCTTCTAATCCCTTTAATAACTGTAGCATCTTTAATGATATAATCTCTTTCATTCTACATATTAGCAATTTATGTTTACCACTTTCCCCCCAATTTGTCTAGCTAGAAGTTTATACATTTTATTGATCTCAAAGAAACATCTTTTGATGTATTGATTTTCTTTAATTTTCTGTTTTATAAATTTTGGTATCTAATCATTATTTATTACTTCTACATACTGTGAGTTTAAATTCTCTTCTTTTTTCTAATTTTGTAAGTTATAAGCTGAGATTTTTTTTTTTTTTTTGAGTTGGAGACTCACTCTGTCGCCCAAACTGGAGTGCAGTGGTCGCTCCCAGCCACCGCAGCCTTGACCTGCTGGGCTCCAGTGATCCTTCAGCCTCAGCCTTCCAAGTAACTGGAACTACAGGTGCACGCTACCACACTCGGCTAATTTTTTTATTTATTGTAGAGATGAGGTCTTGCCAAGTTGCCCAGATGGGTCTCGAACCCGCGGGCTCAGGCAATCCACTCACCTTAGCCTCCCAAGGTACGGGATTACAGGCTGAGCTACCGAGCCCAGCTAAACTGAGATTATTAACTTAGAGCTTTCTTCTATTTTTATTTCAGACATATATTTATAAATTTCTTAAGTGGACTGTCTAGGGAATCCCATAAATTTTGATATATTAAGATTTTATTCTCATTTACCTTAAGATACTTTCTAATTTTCCATTTAATTTGTTAATTGCCTCCATATCTTAGTCAGAGTAAATTCTTTAGTTTCCAAATAGTTGAAGATTTTCCAGAAAATATTTTGTTATTAATTTCTTATTTAATTTTATTGTGGTCAGTGAATATACTCTGTATGACTTGAATTTTCTTTATTTATAAAGTCTTATTTTATGGCATTATGATGGATATCTGTTAGTAAATATTCTGTATGTGACTCAAATAATGTGTGTTTTACTAGTGTTGGGTGCAGTGTTCTATAAATGCCAATGAGGTCAACTTTGTTCATAGAGTTTTTCAAGTCTTCTGTATCCTTATTGATTTTCTGTCTACTTGTTTATCATGATTTCCTGATGAGCCTTCATTGTTTAGATTCATCCACATATTATCAAGTCAAACATCTAAAACTGCAGAGAAAATAGTGGTCCACTTGCCTGCTGGCATATCTGAAAAATAATCTTCAAATGTGGATGTGGAAGAATGAAGATCAGAACATTTAGGCTGTAATTTCAGAGACTTCACTTTGATAATATCAGCATCAGGCCTTCATTCATGTATACTCAGTATCTTTGT